CTTGAACTTTTATATTAATTATGCTGCAACTTGAAGCTATATATCTTATACCCTTCAGAGTTAACATCCCCATCTCTTCCTCTATGAACCAATGAATCTATCTCTGTGTCTATTTCTCTATTGTGTTTTCCCCTACACACACACACACACACACACACACACATGCGTGCTTTGACTAGAAAATCATAAAAGTAGTGGAATGCTTTTATATAGAGATAGAAATAGAGGTATGTCACATAATCACTTTACAAGATTATTGAAAAATAAATGTTATTTGAACATATTTCTGCAAACCTTATGTAAGTATGAGCGTAGTTTATTTTCTTCTGATTTTAGATTGAATTAAAAAAAAATTCTGTTTCTTTAAATTCTTTCTCATAAAGCAATCAAAAGGAATACTGAAAACACACAAAACACCTTTTATTCTAATGACTAGGTGGCAAATAAAAGAAAATCCCAACATAAATCAAAATTAAAATTATATCTTTAAATTTTGGCACCACTACAATGGTTTTTCTTTTTAAGTGAATGTTTGGAGTTTGGAAGACAATCAGATATCTTCTAGGTAGTTGTTACTAAAGTAATTTTATTTGTGATTTCTAGATTCTTGACAACTTTGTGTCAAAAAAAGCCAGTATGTAATCCCTACTAATCTTTATCTTAAGAAGTAAAATTATCTTTGTGATACTAGCTTAGAATTCCTAGGTAATAATAATAATAATGTTCCAAGGATAATTTATATTTTTAACAGGTGCTAGACTTTATGGATTGAAGGTAAATGATGAAAAATGAGGTAACATCTTAGTAAAAAGTCTGCTCCATAAACAGAACATAGAAGATTAAAAAAAAATTGGTTTCTGGAGTCCAAAAAATTCCCATTTTTGTGTACCTTTTTTTTTTTTTTAATTGATGAGAGAGAGAGAGAGAGAGAGAGAGAGAGAGAGAGAGAGAGAGAGAGAGAAAGATAGATGGAACTCAAAACCTTGGTATGTGCCCTGACCTGACATGAACTTGCTACCTTTTGATGTATGGGACAATGCTCCAACCAGCTGAGCCACTCTGGAGCTTGTGATTTTTGTTTTATTGCTTCATTAACTAGGATGAAATCCTAGTTAATGAAGCAATAAATAATTACACTAGTGGCTCAATGCACAAATGAAGATTCATGCAAGAATGGTCCTTTGTTCCCCTGTTTCGCTGTGGCCAGAGCAGTCTTTCTGTCCCTGGCTGCTTGGCACCTGCATAAGCAAATTAAACCAACATCTTTGTTGGGTTAATTTGCATACTCACTCCTTATTGGCTGGTGGTATCATGAAGGTAGGTCAATTAGCATGTTACTCTTTTATTAGATAGATGACTTATAATCAATAACTGAAAATTTATAAAACTATTAAAATATCTTTCAGATATTTGTATTCCTTTAGATAAAAGATAATCTAGAAACACTATTTTAATGTCAAGTTCTTAAGACAAAATTAGTGTTTAAATTATTAAACTAAACTATTACATTAGTGTTGAAACTATTAAGAGCAAGTAATTAAAAATATTGGCTCAGATGCCAAGACTGATCAACACTTTCGTTTCTCGCTCAGAATTCTTTGGTGTTCCTTGAGCATAGTGGCTCCGTCCTCCCTGCTCTCTTCTCACTCTGTATCTCCTGTAGGAATGCAGTTCCTGTACCTAGTTACAGAGCTGTCTTCCTTTTAAATCTTAACACCTCAGGGCCACATCTTTCTGGACATAGCCTTCATAAGCATGTGCCTAATGCACAAATGATGAAGGATCAGTAACTACTCTATGGTAACTTGGGAACTTTCATTTGGGTGTTAAAAATGATATAGAGAGCTGAAACCGGTTTGGCTCAGTGGATAAAGCATAGGCCTGTGAACTGAAAGGTCCCAGGTTTGATTCTGGTCAAGGGCATGCACCTTGGTTACGGGTGGAGGTTGTGCAGGAAGCAACTGGTTGATGTTTCTCTCTCACCAATGTTTCTAGCTCTCTATCCCTCTCTCTTCCTTTCTGTAAAAAATAAATAAAAATATATTTTAAAAAAATGATACAGTGATTTTTTTCCACATTTTGTCAATCTTTAAATAACTCCCCCATAACCTTTCTCTGCTTTAAGTCTCATTTACTTCATATGAAAGAGTTCCACACTTCTCTTCTTTAAATGCTATTATCAATAATATCAATATGATATTCAGGTTTTACTAAATCTATAAATACTTGTTCTAAATTTGTTTCTGAGAAGTGATTAAATCTGACTATCTTATAAAATAAAAATAATAGGATCTAACATATCTAAAGGACTCAAAAAATATTAATCTAGACTAGAGACCAGAAAATGAGCTAAAGATTAAAATAATTGAGAGATGCTAGACATGCATTCTTTGTATGATTCATCTTCAGTCTAATGATACAAAGCTATCTTTTGCAAAATGAATATGATAATTAAGAATGGATGAATATAGAGTTACAGTTTTGCCCAATGAAAGAATTCTGGAGATTAGTTTTACAAACTGAATATGCTTAATACTGAACTCTATGCTTACAGTGACTAAGATGGCAAATTCTATTATGTATGCTTTATCATAAATGAAAGTTTTTTTTTAAAAGAATTAGCAAGAAAAAAAGTGAGAGGATAGCTTGAGTTCATAATATCAAATATGAAGCAAAATTTTTATAAATTAAAGATGCCATTTTTAAAGGAGAGAAAAAGAACACTCAGTTCAGTATTTTTCTCTTAGTGGTTTAAAAAACCCACACACACAATAAAAAACAACTTGGGGGGATTGTAAGATATGTACACACATAATACCTTAATAAAAATAAAAATAAAAAAAACTTGAAGAAAATTTCAAGTTTCCTGCTAGTTGCAGTGTTTTATTTTTACTTTTCATTTATTCATTTATTTGGGGCTTCGTAATACTAGGTTATGACTATTGTCCATTGACCTGTGCATGGACTATTTTGGTTTATTTATTTACTAACTTACATTACTTAACTGTTTTTAATTATGTATTAATGTGCCATCCAGAACAAAAGCTAAAAGATGGTAAATAACTTGTTTTTTTTTACCACCAATTTCTCCTTTATTTTATTTTTCAATCTTGGGTAACTATCTTTATGAATCATGTATTCACCATTCTCATGCTTTTCTTTTTACATGTTGATTGTGTCTATGTATATCCACCTAAAAAGTGTATTTTATTTTAGTTGTTTTTAACATCATTTTAAGGGGAACAAACTGTAATTTTTGTTTTGTTTTTTCTCACATAATAATGAATCGTTAAAATCCATCCTTATTGCTTTGCATGCATGTGTTGGTATTGGCTACTATTTAAAATTGTGTGAAAGTGTAATTGCAGTGATGTAAACCATGCCTGAATAAATAGTGCCTTTAGGTCCTTATTGCGAACCATATGAAAGTTAGCTTGCCATTTGAACTACGGTTGGCTCAACCACGCTGCTTATGCCCACCTTTGGATTGTAGGTTGTTCAGGTGTACTCTGAATGAACAGCCTTGCTTCATTTAAAAAATCTCCATGATATCATGGCTATTAAGAGAGTTTGAGCATAATTCTCAGCCCTTCTTGTTCAGACATAAAACCCTAGAATTTCACTATGAAGATACTATCATATACCTAAACATTAGTGATTTCTAAATCATTTGTTAATTCCAGGTTTAACAAGTTTCTGTCAGTGCATTGCCTCGGGAAATTTTCCTTTTCCGCATCTATTAAAACGATTTCTGTTAACACTGGTGAGAAACATAATAAAGGTTTGTCAGGAACTCTTGGAACATAAGCAATTCAGAGCTTGCTTTTCTTGTTTCTTCTTGCCTATAGCTTAACACAGATCCTTTCTTTCTGTAAGCTAGAGTGCTGCATCTACCTCTTTAAATCTTATTTTGCAAAAGAACTTCCTGACATTATTTCCAGTTTGTTTAAAATTAAAAAACAAAATAAAAAACCCTCTTTTGATATGTTCAAGACTATTAAAATATGATTAAAAGCTACCAACCAAGAAGTTTACTGCCCTTGTTCTTAATTATTTGCTCAATAATATTTATATGCCCTGACCAGGAATTGAACCCTTAACCCTTCAGTGCACAGATGACATTCCAACCACCTGAGCCACACTGCGGGCCTTGCCCAATAATATTTATTGTGTAGTGGTTGGGACCCTCTTCCTCCTGCAAGTTCAGGAGACAGTTTGGGTCATATTTTTGCTCTGCTCTGAATTAGTTTTGTGGCCTTCCACATATTATTTTATGACTGTGTGAATATGTTTTCTGACATGAAAATGGAAAGTAAGTCCAGCTATCTCATAGGGTCATTGTGAAATTTAAATAAGATGATGCACATGAAATGCTTAACTTACTGACAGTTGCATCTGAGCTCCATACATGTTAAGTAGGGTGGGGCAAAAGTAGGTTCACGGCTGTGACTATAAGAGACAGAGTTTTTTCCTTGTATTAATATCTATTAATCTTTTTATTACTTTATACACACACAATTAAAGATTGACTTTGCCATACCCTGTATTGTCAACAGACTTACACTGGTTTTTGACGTAGACTGAATCATAATGTATGCTTGTGACAAAGGGCTCTTGCCCATACCTCATTGCACATGTTTATAATGTTATCACTCTTAGTAAACACAGAAAAACAGGGCAAAAAATAGAATCCCTTACTTAAGCAAATGCTAATCTGAAATCCTGTTGATGTTAATAGGAATTTACGGCTTTATCAACATAATTTACCTAATTAATAAGTGCATTTAAAAGTAAATAAGAGTGGATGATCCTACATATTATTTTGGAGAAATTTTTAGGGTAACTTCTGAAAATATTTAAGTTACAAACTTCTTACATCATATCTAACAATACGCTCTTTGCTTGATATTCACTCTTTAAATTTACATGCTCACTCCCCGAATTAGAATTGTGGGGTGTCTTAGATATTGGATTCTAACAAAATTTAAAATGTTTTCCAGATTTATTGGCCGGCTGCAAAGGAGCGGGTGGAATTATGTAAATTAGCTGGGAAAGATGCCAATGTAAGTATGAGACTTTAAAAAATATCTTTGTTAAACTGGTACTGATATGATAACAAATATTTATATTGGGTTTTAGGAATTAATGATATTAATGTGCTATTTAAAGGCTATTCTAACTTATTCTGTGTAAAGATTTTGGTAAATAATATTTCTACCTTGCCTAAAGGAATGTTATTATCTTCAGAAATTTAGAATTACTACACTTTCTATAGTGTTAACTCTGAATATTGTTATTTTTCTCACACAAAAATCTCAGATCCCTATCAAAATATTCAGAAATAAATCATCAGAAATTATTGTATTTCTAGGATTATGTATTTTTCACTTACATGCCTGCATTTTGTGAATGTACACAGAGCCTTCAGCTTTAGCATTAAAAACATGCAATTAATATTTCATTTAATTTGGGTTAAATATTAAGCTTAGAAAACCTAGCAGGATTCTTTCAAAACTTGGCATGGAAAGATACTAAGAAAGATTGGTTGAAAGTGAATGACAACATCCTGGAATGAAAACTAGAAATATTTTAGTCTAAAATTGACTAAAGCACAGTTATCTAAAATAACGTTTAAGGATAAATGGTGGGGTTCTAATGTAAACGCCTAGCCTAAGCTGCCTTAAGGACCTAAACCTCAGATCGGGGACTGGCCTAAGCATCTTTGGGGTAACCTCTCTGGATTGCCTTTGCATCGTCCCAGTTGTCTTGCCTGCTCCCCCAAACTGTGTTGCCTGTTTTATCTCCAGCGATGACGGCAGCCCTGTGGCTCTGGCTGCCTCTTCTCATCCGCGTGCTCTGATTCAGGCCAGATGCTCCATGTTCTGCCCTGACTTCTTGCACTGTGGTGATAGGGAGAATTGCTCTCTCTCTTTTTTTTTTTTTTTTGGCAAATAAATCACTTCCTGAGTGTAACTCAAGATGATAAGAGGTTCTAACTTTGGACAGAGACATGGACATCTTGAGGGTTCTTTTGTAACATCCTCTACTGCTGCCTGTGACCACAGTCACATAAGGAGCATTAAGCAGAGCAATGTCTTCATATTTAATAACAAATAGTGTGCATTACATAAAAGCACAATTAAATTTTAAAACTCTCACTTTATTAATGTGATAAAAGTAATGTAATAGGACACGTGACGCCTAATGCATTGAGGGGAAGGTTAGAAGACTCAGAATCTGAGACAACAGATTTGTTCACTTATTTGGACAGTCATCTATTCAAATTATACTTATGAAGAGCCTGAATATGTGCATAAATATAGGTATGAAACTGGTAGAGGATCTGCTGTCAGTCATGGAGCTTTCAGTAAAATGAGGGTTACAGATATTACTCATCTGATGTTACACGCTGTCACAGTACTGCAAACTAAAATTATCAAAATGGAACAAAAAAGTTTTCATTTTGCCTGACTAGGTATTCAGCCAGTGTTAAATGTGACCTTTTCTGACATATTTATGTTAGCAGAAATGTATCAGGGAGTGAATGCAACAGGAAACAGTTTTTGTGTTTATTTCATCAGAAACAAAAGAGTTAAAGCCGTCCTAGGATATATTTTTCTTTTTTCCATGTCTCTATCTCTCCACCCTGTTCAACATCCCAACTGCAAGCAAGTGCCCAGGTCTGCAAAAGATTCAATGTTTTTTGACTTTGTGGGGAACAAAGATGCTTTGCTTCTGAGAGTTTCCAAACTATTTTGTTGATGTACAGTGGAAGCTTGTCGTAAGCAATACAAACACCTCAACATTCTGTATTTCACCAGTATTTAGTGTATGATCAGGAGGCAAGTAGGGAAAGGAGGTTTCAAATCTACTCCAATAAACTAATGTCAGTTTTCTCATGGAGTAGATGAGGGATAAACACCCAAGGTCAGTCCGTGACAGTGTTCCCATTGCAGTACGTTCACCAATTCTAGCTATACAGTAACTCAGTTGCCCCTATTGCTAACTTAAAGCAAACAGTGATCAACTTTTCTGAAGGTAGCATCCTAGAACACAGAGGACGCAGCATATGAAAACCATTCTTCCAATTCAGTTGTAGCAGGGGGCTTAGTAATAACCTCTAACCTTTCAGCACACCTCCTGCCAACCCAGGATTAGAGATTTGGAGAGTTTTGCTCATTTTGCTGAAGTCTATAAAGTTTGCTGTTGAATCATGTAGGGATAATACAAGTCTTTGTCTCCTTTCCAATCTGTCCCTTTAAAATAATATTACATTAGAGTTACTAAGAATAGCTTACTTTTTTATAGCACTTGCCATGTTCTGAGAGTTGTTTTTCATGCTTTATGTTTATAATCTCATTTAATCCTTAAAACTATTTGGTTTGCTAGATTTTATCATGAATTCTCATTTTCTAGATGAGAAGACTGAGGCCAGAAAAATTAAATGAGTTGCACAGTATCACATATCTAGTAAATAGTGAAGCCCAGAAATTGAATCCAGAAGTCTTTCCCCCACAGTCTGTGCTTTTTCACACACTGTAACCCACGCATTAAGTCTGCACTTTATGTCTGAGGTCTGAAGTCCGTATTATCCCTCCAGTCATTTCTCTCTTTCGTGTCCATAACATAGATCCTCATTCTCCAGCATTGCAGAGATTTCTGCCGACAGAAAACTGAGACAAGTGCGGGGTTTTATTGACATATTTTACTGCCTTTGGCATTGCCCCCTCTTTTCCCTTCTCTCTAGTAATTTTTACCTACTTCCCCAAGAGTGTGTTTAGGATTAACAAGCGTTTGGGAAGACTGTCCCTTTACACAAAGGTACTATATAACTGAAAAATAGTGAATTATTTACCATAACGAGAGTTAGCTAATTGGGGTGGGGAGAGAGTAGAAGATGAGGGAACAAAAGTGACCTATTCCCCTTTCTTGAACTCCATTCCCAGATTAATTCAGGGAAGGAAAGGGATGACAGGAAGCTATTTGGTAGTGCTGAGTTTCTGCTTAGAATGTTTTTCAAGAGAGTCACTAAAGAAGTGCCTTTAGTCCTGGGGATGCAGAGTGGGGTAAACAGGTCACTCCGGGCAGAAGAGCACATAGGGTACAGGCAGGCTGGCCTCTGTTTGCCCACCGGGGTCACCCACAACCTGTCAATAGAGCCATGACAGAATGCAAGGATCTTGCTTCTCTACAGTTCTGTGATTACGTTTTTTTTTTTTTCAGTGTTTTTTGTTTTTGTTTTGTTTTTTGTTTTGTTTTTTGTTGTTTTTTTAGAACATCTGAGAGTAAAACAAATGTCCATTGTAGAATGTTTGCAAATTAATAAAGAAATCATCTGTAAATAGTTCCTCCCCCATGAACATTACCCAGAGATAGCTGGTGACATTTTGATGTTTATTCTTCTATCTTATCTATTTACTAGTTCAGAATGAAATCATTGTATACATAGTGCCTTAAAACACGTGTTTTTTTTTTCCACTTCACAGACTGCCATGAGCATTTTCCCATGTCATTATATTCCCTTTTTATAACACTACTTTTAATAGCTATACCGCATTCTTCTACATATTATTTCATCAATCCCCTATTGTTAGGAGTTTGGTATAAATCCAGTTTTAATTATTGTGAATGATGCTGCACATGAAAACGCTCCTATAAAAATATTGTGAACATCTTTGACTGTTGAGTAGAATTACTGCTGAAAGGATATAAATGTTTTATACACTCTGCAAAATGGCCCCCCGGAAAGCTCTGCTCTTGTGCTTTAACTAGCAGCGATGCTCATGAGAGAGCGTATTTCCCATACCCCCGGCTAATATTGGATACAACATATAGCGAACATTTAATACTGAGACGTAAATGAATAAAATAAACACATTAAATATTTGCCAACAAAACTAAAGCTATTTTTGTTGTTTCAGCTTGAATTTTCCTTTTATTACCATTAAACCTAAACATTTTATCTAGTTGTAAAGTTAGAATTTGTGTTTTGGAATGGCATATCCCTACCATTTGTTCATTTTTAAAATTTTACTGTTTTTTTCCTTACTGATTAGTTACAGATTGTCAAGATTTGCAGATATATATATATATATATATATATCTGCAAATCTTGACAATATATATATAATTACTCTGTAATCTCATGTAAAAATATTCTTTCCAAGTTATTTTATTTGATATAGTCTTTTAAATATTTAAGTAAGCATCTCTCTTTTTTTTTCTTTAAAATGTTACCTTTGCCCTCCTATCACACCTGGGTTTAGCTCTGTAGAAATCTCCACTGTTAGATCTTCTCTGAAAAGCTGGCTAACTTGTCAACTATTGCCCATTTTTAAGAAAGAAATATGATATTTGGATTTCCATGTATTTATTTTGAAGCGTTAAAATATTTTCAAAGCTTTAAGACCTAAAAAGAAATCTCTGCAGACTGGATTCTACTTGAGGTCTGCTAGACAAAACCAACATGCAGCAGTGACAAGCATTTGATGAATGATCAAAAGTGTTTGATGTTCCTAGCCAGTTTGGCTCAGTGGATAGAGCGTCAGCCTGAGGACTGAAGGGTCCTGGGTTCAATTCTTGTCAAAGGCACAGACCTCAGTTGCAAGCTTGATCCCCTGCCTTGGAAGGAGCCCATGTGGGAGGCAGTGAATCCATATGTCTCTCTCACATGAATGTTTCTCTCTCTGTCTCTCCTGACTTCCACTCTCTGTAAATCAATGGAAAAATATCCTTAGGTGAGGATTAACAACAACAACAACAAAAAAGATTTGATGACCACTGTGTTCTGAAAAGTAAACTAAAACAGAAACAGACCAGATTCCTAAGTATTTCCCTATATAACCTAAATAAATTAAAATTAACAATTCATAAGTCACTTATCAGAATTACATATAAAGTTGTGTTGGATTTAATTGGACTATATTTAAGTCTAGAGAATAACATGTACTTCTGTTTCACTAATACAGTGTCCCAAAAAAAATGTATACAAACTTTCAGAGCTGTTGGCTCAGTTTTGAAAGTGAAATGTATTTTAACAAACACTGCCTTTATAATTATTCAA